GCTTGAGAAGATGTCAACAGTACGAGATGTCTAGGATGGCTGGCTAGTCCGGTCCGAGAGGAGGCGTCAGAACGCGATGTCTAGGGTGGCGGACGCAGTCAGCCCGAGAAGATATATGAAGGGATAAAAATATTTAAAAAAAATATACTGCTGTATAAAACTGCTGTGAGGGGATATAGCGGGTTAATCTTGCTTGTCCCTACTTACGATGTATTGTTTTGTAAAATCATAACAGGATTGGGGCATTCGCATATATACCAGGTTACTGAGGAATGGGTATCTCAAAACTGTTATGACTACTTTTACTTGTATAGATTTATGACTTTWATAAATAAACGATGCTGCATGGGGGCTAAGCAACGTGAAAACAGTTCGGCCTCCATGCAGTGATTTAAACAGGAAAAAAAGGTATTAGGAACCTATTTTCATAGTATACACATAACATAATACGATGATGACTGTTAAAATAATAGTAAATTACTATATAATATATACCTATTAGGTATGCGGCACTCACACATATACATATAATATAAAGGCTTACTCTCATATGATATGTATAATCTATGAGATGAAAAGATTAATTTAGTAACTATTTACATAATATCAGAAATATGCAGGCTCTGATGTATATTATGCAAGTGTGAACTTCTTCAGTGGTCCTCCTCAATGTACTCAAATATAACCATCTGCAGAAATTTTCGTCACTTTCATATCTTATAGGTAGTACCTATCTGATGAAGGTACTGTCTGAGACCAGGGCATGAAACCGATATTGGATATCAATTTTGAATACCAGTTAAAACCGTTAAAACCCAAAATTGATATTAAACCAGAAAACGAAATCGAAAAAAGATATACCGATATGCGAAACTGAAATTGAAATTGGAAAATAATTTTTGCGAATTCAAGCACGTGTCTCTGAATATATACCTATAACCTATATCACCAATGCCATATTATATTTTAAATTGTTTAAATTTAATTATATATCTAAATTAATATCGTAAAAAGATGTTCAAATACGCGTGAAATAAACTCACTCAGCAATAGTCAACATAGTTTGATACATAATTCCATATATGATGTAGAATGCGTAGATGTACCATAAGTTTCGGCAATAAACACAGCACAATAACACGATGGCGGCAATAAAAGATCCAACGGCGAAGAAAATGTCGCCAACAAAATACCAATTCCAATTTACCTTGCTTATAGCGAACGCGGCTAAGGCACCTGAAACAATAAAATTGTTCAATAAAAATTCAATTCCCTGYAAAATATTTAAAGGTACTATATTATGTATTAAGAAATACTCGAATGCAGTTTTCGTTCTCTAGCTGTGGCTTATAGAAGGTTATAGTGGTTATACACCTATACTTACAGCACGTTAATCGTCATATTTACAATACTTAACAAGTTTTTACATTGTTTCTGTAAAAAATATTATTACGGTTTCGATCTCGTTTTGTATAAATGTACGAACAATATAGCTAATACTTACAAATGCATTTTGAAATATATATTTTACTATTTAACATACATTTACCGTATTTATTATACATCTGTCGTTAAAACATTACAAAATAACTAAGTATAAAAATGTATTTATTTAGGTACTTTTTAGTCATTTTATATTTTTTACTTATTTGAATAACAACATTTAAGCACATTTTTAATTTTATAC